ATAACTGAAGTTGGACCAGCCAATATAATAGCTCCTGTTACTATTGTTGTTCCATTTAATTGTCCTGAGGCAAATTTTTGAATTCGATTATTTGAATAATCAGCCACATATAAGTTTAAATTATTATCAACAAATATTCCATTAGGTAGATTAAGCGTAGACGGTGTTGATCCAGCTGTGCCTGTACCCGCGACAATATTCCATACATTTAAACGTGTGTCCAGTGACTTCGAGACAACCTGATGATACGAACTCATTGCGCAGTAAAGCATATTATTGATATCGACAAAGAGACCGGAGCATTGTCCACACACATACATTGCTGGAACACTGCTTGTTGAATTCCATCCCCATTTATCAACTCGATAATTTGTGTTGCCATTGTCGACATAAACATCACCATTGTCCGTAACGAAAACGCTAGAAGGTACGGATAAACCACCGGAGTAATTGCCTGTAAGTGTAGTACTTCCGTTAAGCCACACTTGAATCCTTCCATTCGCATGATCAGCTACATAAACGCTATTATCTGTATTGATAAACATGCCTACAGGTTGTGTACCAACCATAGTGCTCGTGGCAAAAGTTATAGCCGTCTGATCCCACGTTGCATTTGCACAAAGTTTTGGTTGATTGTATGAAATGCCTGTAAAAAATCATAGAAATATGAAATAGAATTTGAATAGTAATGATCATCATTAACTCAGAATTTTGCACTTATACTTCTGGTTGAAACTCGAGAGAAAACTCTGGGAATCAGCATATTATATTTGATTTGATCATATATATGGAAAACGCTATTTTCTAAATATGATCATTTCTCGGTTAGAAAATAAGTCAAAGATTCTTCTGAAGAATATGGTAAATAATTTTATTGAGTTCTTACCTGATGTTTGCCCAAAAATCAATAGAAACAACCAAACATTGCGAAAACCAAACAATATCATGTTGAATATCTAAAATATAATTCGGTTTTATATTAATGGATAGTGGTATTGAATGAAAAATTAGGTTGTACAGAACAGTTCACTATATGACTGTAAACGAATAAAATCAGATATCTTCACAAAATGTTCTTCATCTCACATAGTCTTACGAGAGAAGTACCCGAAGTGATAAACAGCTTTTAAGCTGATATTCTGCCCACAAGTAGGGGATACATAGACTAGAAAAGGCCTAGAAGGATAAGGACCCATAGGCCTTTCTTCCCGAGTTACGGTCATT